AATCGACCTCTGATGGCCAGCTGCTAGGTAGAGCCCGAGGTCACCCATCCATCTGCTCTTTCCTGAAAACAGCTGTTTTGTAGCAGGGTCCCTGTAATTTGGTGTCAGGCCATTTCGCATTTACAGCATCTAGAGTAAAAACCAGAAGGACAAATCAGGGCTGTGCACACGCGTGTGTATAGGAGGCAAGGAGGTGAGAATGATGTGTTTTCCAACCCCAACTTAAACACCAGTAACCACCAGCAATGTATCCACACACCCCAGCTGGAGGAGCCTGCCATCTGCATCTACCCCATCATGCCTCCATTTCTTGACCAAGCACCTAAACACTGATAAAATGATAGGTCGCTGTCTTTACCCCGTTTTTGTTTGTCTTGACTGGCTTTCACACTTCCACATTTACTTACTGGTGCTGTCTGTCCCCTGTCACATGCAGGGTAAGGTGTCTGTCATCCACTCACAGCCAAGCTAGCTCACTTTTCCCTTCACTGAGAGTGGAGTTCTGTTGCCTGAGGGCTTTCATCAGTCCCAGGAAATGGCAGGCACTTACATGGGACATTAACTCTCCAGGCTGTCTCAGGGGTGCAGAGCACTAGGACTGGAATGCACTCAGCTCCCTCTTGGTTGTCCCAAAGGAAGAGGGGCCTCCCCACGTGCAGCCTTACTTAGCACCAAGGGGGCAGCTTTTAGGGCCCTGACTTTGCCTAGCTTTGGAGTACTTTCCCTTTGTCACTGGTATTAGTAACTTTCTGATCCACCATAGGAAATGATTATACCATTTTAGAGACTATGTAAGAATGCACCCCAAAGCATAACCATTGACTAAGTAGCAATGAAATGGCTGCATGTAAATGGCTCATGAAGTTCAGTCTCATCACTGTACTAGTAGTTGGTTCAGGCACCACAGTCCTTCCTAGGAAGGAATGATGCCACCGGTAGTGCAGCCGGCCACCTGCGAGAGGGTCTGCCATGACCAATGGTCATTGGAACACGAAGACCTTCTCAGTGGACGTGGGACCTCACACACTGCCCCCAGAGCCTTGTCCATACTGGTGTGTTTTTCATGCTGCCACATGAAGCCCATGAGGCCTTTTCCAAAGCGAGAAAGCCTGAGTCTGAATGAATGGGCTTCTCCAGGGAAGCAGTGGTTCCTGTTTTTCCAGAATTCTCAGGATTCTCCTCAGCACTTGTCATTGATGTCAACGGCAAGGAGACAGATATATGTCTCAGTGTGGTGACAGTCATCGCTCCCCACAAAACACAGTCATCAGCACAAGTAAAAACTTCATTTTGTCCTATTTCTAAGGAAAGTATTCTCTGATGTTAAAACTTAAGGCAATGAACATAAACCAAATTTTATGTTGCATATTTAGTTTTAAATTTTATATTCACGTCAAAAAATATTTATACTTTATGTTATGACAGGTTCTGGGAAGAAACAAGACATAAGAAAAGAACATAAAACACACAGAGAAAAGCACATACACACTCACACACACATCAGAAGTGACTCAGACAGACTTGGAGAAGCAATAGAAAGAGGCAATGACAGGCCTACCAGGAGACATGCTTTGAAATGATGTCACTGTCTCATTATTAGATCAATTTTCCCTTGAGGGTAAGTATCCTCTGGTAACTGCTAACATATCTGCAAATATCTGCCAAAAAAAAAAACAAACCCAAAAATGGTCTTAAGGATCCCCAGACTCAAATTCTTCTATTCAGACTCATTGATCAATCACAGCATCACTGAAAGAGTGGCAACTAGATATTACGTGTCGCTGGGTGTGGTGCAGTAAGAAGACACAACACCACCTGTGAAGTATCGTGCCACAGAGTCAAGCCTGACCTTGGACTGGAAGTGTAGACAATATAAGAATAACAGAAAAAGTCAAATCTCTCCACAGGGAAGTGATCAACCAATCTAGAGTGTGGGAAATAGCATAGCGCAGGTGAAAACGAGGAAAGGGGGGAGCATTACTGATTAAAAGAGATTTGAGAGACGTGTTAGTCACACACAATATGTACACCTTGTTTGGACTCTGGTTTTAACAAGCCAACTAATGAGATGTTTTTAGATAATTGGAGAAAGGTAAATATGGACTAGATAGTAAAAGATATTAGGAAATTGTTGTTTATTTTGATAGGTATGTTGATGAATGGGTAATAAAAGAAAAAGAAATTCTCATCAGTTCAGCAGCATTTCTCAAACTCAGCACTGTTAACTCTGGGCCAGATCATTCTTTGCAGGGGGGGCTGGCCCGTGCACTTAGGAATATTTAACAGCATCATTGCCCTCTGCCACTAGATGCCAGTAGAACCTCTGCATACACACCTGTCCAAATGGTGATAACCAGTCAGCAAATGTCCCCTGGTTAAAAATCATTGGGTTAGAAAATCACAGAGGTGTGTTGATGAATGAAGTGATATATAATGTCTAGGACTTGCTTTTAAATATGCTAGCAAAAAAAAAGTAGTAGATAAATTAAACTTGATTAACCATAGTTTTCATTTCAGTTGAAGCTGAATGGTGAGCACATTCTTAATACTATTCTCTCTATTTCTGTGTATGTTTGATTTTTAAATATCAAGCTGTTATTAAAGTCTAAGGTAGGATTGTCAATAGGTTCCTTTTAGTGCCTTCTCTCAAAGTTGCTTCACTGTCTTCTTGGGAAACTCCTTGCGGATATATTTCCCAAGGCCTGGAGTATAGTCCAGAATTCCTACCTGGCATCATAGGAACAGACCCAGTCTACTTCACTGCTTTACTAACCCATGTTGACAAAGCCCCAAGGCAGAAAATATTAGCTATAAACAAAGCGGTGAATACCTAGAAGTTCCCCCAACCCCTCACTAATACTACCACTAAGGAAGAGAGATACCTTCTCCTACTGCCTTATCCCCATTCTAGAAGAGGTTCACCTGGTGGATGGATAAGTAAACTTAAGGACTTTGAATCTCCCAGCTAACTAGAGAGTTGTATTAAAGTACAAAAATTTCACCACCCTAATCTCATCCTTTTATCTTTTAGTTCAAATCCCTGTTAATGGTGGTTGCCAGAGGGGATGGCGATTAGGAGACTGGGGAAAATGGGAGCGGGGTTGGAGGGATGGGTAGAAAGGGTGAAGGGATTAAGAAGTACAAGTTGGTAGCTACAGAATAGTTATGGGGATGTAAAGTACAGCATAGGGAATATAGTCAATAATATTATAATAATTATGTATGGTGTCAGATGGATGCTAGTTTTATCAGGGTGATCACTTGGTAAAATGTCCAATCCCTAGGTATACATCTAAAACTAATGTAATATTGTATGTCAATTGTAATTGAAAAATAAAAATATTTTTAAAAGATGGTGCAGATATATTGCAAATTTTTAAAAAGGTAAAAAAAATCCTTTTAAACTACAACAAACTAAAAGGGATGGACATAGGGCTACATTTTCCAGAGTATAGAGAAATAAAAGCTCAGGAAAATGGATAGGAAGGGAGACAGGGAGAGAATGAAGGACTCCAGCTCCTAAGGTGTGCAGGATGGAACAGAATTTACAGGGAGAGACACTACCAAAAGGGAAACTGGAAAGCTGGATGTTTTCTCAGCTATTTCAGTTTATGACTAAAAGTCCATTCTACGCCATAGAGATAGAGTCATTGAACTGACTTAATGGAAGACAATTGCTAGGTGGGGATATAGCGTAAGTGTAAAGCACAGTCTCTGCAGGTATGAGACTCATAATTTAGTGGGAGGGAGGAAGCTTACTTCCCTGGGTGAAACAGTCAGAGCACAATTAATGGTGAAGCTGCATGCCATTAGCTCCACATGGGGTTCAGCAGTTGGGTAAGAGTTGCTGTGAGCAGGATGAGAAAGCAAAGCAGCTGAGGTCAAAGCCAAAGTCTTGACAGAGGAGAAGAAATGTCAACTGAACCTCAAAGATGAGTAAGATTTAAATTGGCTAAGACTTTTCTCATGAGAGAAAAAGCAAGAGCAGAAGTATTCAATAAATATTTATTAAGAGCCAGCTATGTGGCTGACAGAGCCTTGAGGTTTGTATCCTGCAAAGGCTACTGTCTGGTATAAAATCAGGAATATGCACAGCATCTTTGTCAAACATGTGGGGACAAGAATGACTGGGGATGACAGCGTGTGTTCCAGAGAAACAGAACCTGTAGGATGTGTATAGAGAAAGGGAGTGAGGAAGACAGACAGACAAACAGTGATTGCGGAGACTGGCAAGTCTGAAACCGCCATGGAAAGTCAGCAGACTAGAGACCCACGGAAGAGCTCATGTTGGTGTCTTGAGTACCAAGGCAAAGCTCTGGAGGCAGAATTCCTTCTTCTTCAAGCGACCTCAGTCTTTGCTCTGAAGGCCCTCAACTGATTGAATAAAACCCACTTTCATTATAGTGGGAATCTGCTTTATTCAAAGTCTACTTATTTAAAAGTTAATTGTATCTTAAAAAAAACACACACCTTCACAGTAACATCAGGACTGGTGTTTGACCAAATATCTGGGTACTGTGGTCCAGCCAAGTCGACACATAAAATTAACCAACACAGGATGGGGTATATATAAGGGATCAATGGTTAGGTGGTGTGAAAGCCAGACCAGGACGATTCTTGAGCAGTCAACCAACAGGATTCTGGAGGAAGATTAGGCTAAGGCTGTGTCTTAGTAGATTGGAGACATAATACTACTCTGTCATCTTTACCTCACAGCAACCAAAGGCAATACCTTCACAACACTCCTCAATTGCTGTGTGGTTGGCACGTTGAACCCGAGAAACCTGTCCCGCACTCCGATGTTCCCACCTGTGTGCCATGCCCTACTCTGAGAAGCAGGAAGCCCTGCTTTTTAGCTTCCTTGTTGCTACAGCCCTAGATACAGATGGTAAAGGCACACCCAAAAGCTGTTTTGCATTTTGAACCACTTGGATGATTAGAAAGGATGTTTCGTTGCCAGTTTTGAAGTTTTTTAAAGCAATACCTATTCTCTGTTTTAGGTCGAAATAAGTAATGACATTGACTCTGAAATGCGGCTGCTGAACTTGACTTAGGAAGCAAAGCACCGTTGACAGCTCCTCTCTGCATCATGTCTCACTTTCTTCCAGGCAATGAACTGCACTTCCCTGCTTTCCAACCAATCACGGAGTTCTTCAGTCACAGCCTATGTATTATTAGCATTGTGCGCTAGATGAGTTGTAGGTGCTTGGGTGGGTATTTTTTAGTCGTTTTTTTCTTATATGAATACTTGTAAATTGTAAAAAAAAATGGTTTTTAATTTTTTAACAGTATTTAACATGAGGCATGCAAAATGGAAAAAAATGCTGTGAAAACCTACAGACAATTCTGTGAGAAATACCGGTTTGTGTTGTGGAGGTGTTAAGTCAGGGCTGCTGACAGCCACAATTATCCTAGGCCTGATGGAGTTTGCATTAGCAGATGCTACTTGAGGTTAGTAGACAGGAAGTTAGATGCTGAGACAGATGAAAATGGGTACAAATAGTGAATCCAGCTTTCAGACTGAATATAGATCCTGTTTTTCAATACCACAAGACCAGCATGGAGTTTCCCTTTGTTCTAGACTTCCCAAAACCCAGAATAATATTACAGCAATTGAAAATTTCAGATTCTTGCATGATACCTTGTTATGCTTATGTTCTGAAAAATATGTGTTATGGGTGTGTGGAAGAGTGAAATGATAGTAAAACACCTTTCCCCCTTTGGAGGGAATATGAGTATCTCTGAGGATCACACTTTATACTTTTTATCCCAGTCTTGACACTGGTGTCAGCCCTACACTTACAGCCTGTGGGCATGCAGGACAGAAATAACAACCGTAACTCTGTAATCAGCCATGTTGCTCTGAAGTTAGTCAAAAGGAGCATTAAAATTATGTGGAATTGTCTATAAATACCTCTCAAGGAGATACTTATATGTGTTCTGCACCAACTTTTCTTTCTCCTACCCCATTCCCAAAACCAAGAAATTAGTATCGGAAACATAATTTCCCATGGGGGGGAAATATGTCTTGAAAATACACCACAGTTTTTTCTCTTCATATCTTTCAACTACGATGTCCCATGCCAAAATAAGTTTTGCTCACTTTGTGTGACTACTACAATGAGGCCTCCTGTAGGGCCCCGAAAGGGGTATGTGTGCAGTATTTATTCCAGAAGTTGTTAATTTGGCCTATATATTTCTAAGACAGTCTATATACCATCTGAAATTATATGCAAATTTTTTCATGTGTAGAGTTTTCTTTTTTCTTCTTTTTTGTGGAGTCCACATATTTCATGAGACTCCATGAGAATCAGAACTTAAGAATCAGAACGTACCAAATTCTTCCCTGGTTCCTCCAAGTTCATGACAACCATGGTGAGCTTTGGGGAGGCCTCTGGACAATACCCCTTCAGTCCCCTGACACCCATTGAACCCCTTCACTGTTCATCCCACTGAATAGCCTCAAATCCAAAGTGAAGAGGAGCTAGCAGGGACCTGAGAGATGGTCAAATCCAAGTCATCGTTGTACAGTAGAGGACACTGAAGCCTAGGGAACTTTGGGGATTTGTCCAGGGTTCTGCATGTATACAGAGGAGCAAGAGCTATGGACAAAGGAAAGAGAATTTGGAAGATACAGAGTGGGGTTTGGGTCCCAGGTCCACCACTGTGGTCTTGGGTACTGTCAGACACCTCAGCCCTGGAGCTTTCTTTATCTGTAAAGTGAAGCTATAATGCCTACCTCCCAAGGTCGAGGTGATGGTTAGATGAAAATGTACAAAACACCCTGTAAACTGTGAAGTGGCTCACAACCGGAAGAGGCTGTTGTTAATGTAATGTCGTAACAGTAGGCTGGACCCTATCTGGAGCTCTTGCTACATACCCAAGTGCTGTGCAAAGCCCATGGAAATGCCAAACTCTTCCATGTTTTCTACAAAGTAGCTTGAAACATTTGCCCACGTTTGAGTGATTAGAAATAGTGCAGAGTACAAATTGCACTTCTTAATTAAAAAATAACTTTGATATTCAAATTCTAAGACTAATACATTTATTATTGTGGAGAAAGCTAATAGAACATCAAAAACATAGAAAATTAGTCAGAAGAATGAAATTAATACCTAAATATCCTAAACTGTTATTGTATTATGCCCTCCACCCCCAAACAAGACCTAGCTCACATTTTGCGAAGTAGTGCCATACAAACATTGTTGCTGTTCTGTCTTCCTGTGAACTTGTACATTCCTCTAAGACGCACCGTGGAGTCATAGAGCCTGTCTAAGCGCAGGTAGGAGCCTGGAGAAGGAATCCTTCCATTTGTAACTTTTCTATGGAAATTCAACACAGGCAACTACTTAAGATGGTGTGTGTGCTTTGGTTTTTAATACTTAATATTAACTTAAATAATATAACTTGAATAATTAAGTTATAACTGTTTCAATCCCCAATTTCAGGAATCCATTATGGTAATTCTGAAGTTCCAAAAATTTTGCCACTCATCAGAAACAAGTTAGGTAGACCTCCCTCCCCCTCTCCAGCCCCCTTTTCTCCCCCACACCGCTCCTTGTCCAGGCTACTCCTTAGAGGTCCTGCTGACTTAAGACAAAAGAATGAAGAGTGTAGAATTGTACAGTCATGCACCACAGGTCCCCTGGGCCTGGGGGATTCTGACCCAGTACTGTCGCATGTCATGAGGCTCACTGCAGAATGAGTGTCTCCAGTTCTTGCAGCTTTTGCCTGTGTTCCAGGGAGTCCACTCTATAGGGTACCTCGTGCAGTAGGGCTTTTAACAAAGACATGTTCCCTACATCCATGTTCTTGCCATGTGGAAGTGTGTGTGTGGTCAGAGGAAGGGAAAATGAACACATCCCCTAGACTGTACTCATTTGTCAGAACCTCTCAGCATCCTGAGACAGGCACTTCCAGACTCACGTGCTCTCCTCAGAAGTGGTCCTGGTAAAGCTGAAGACAGGACATGCACTGCCCAGGAATCCCTAGGGCTGGCTGGAGTGCAGAAGGGAAAAATTAAAACTGTTTTCTTTGCTCTTTGAACCTCCTTGACTATGTGTCTTATAAACCTTGGCCAACTCTGCCCCAGCCTGTGTCTTCTATCTTGTGTCAATGACCTGTCCTTCTTAAAGGGTCTCCTGCTGCCACTGTGTGGAGCAAGGATGCTCTCCAATTTACCTTACATCTATTTCCACTTCCAGTCCTGTTTTAAAGCAGGAAAAGTTAAGCAGGGGAGTCACGGGGGATAGGGGGTGGCTTGAGAATTCCCAGGGGTCAAGGGGTAGACTATAGTCATCATGAGAGACATCTCAAACATCTCTTTTAGGGAAAACTCTGAAGTTAGCATGAAGTTATCTTAGGCTTCCGCCTGCCATGCAATACGAATGTGCGTGTCCCTGAAACAAAAGCATATGTTCATACCACTCTACATCTGAGAGGCTGTTGGCTCACTTGTTTTGGAGATTACTTGACATCTTGCCCTAGCAAAATATTGACTTCTTTCTTTTTTTACTTCGGAAAAACAAGCCCTGCTATTTTCTAAATAAGGGAGGCAGACAGCTTCAAGAGGCTGGATCTAACAAAATATAGCAAGGCTGCCATCTGTCTCACTTAATGAATGGGACACTTATGATTGAGAGGAATTTGTCTTCATTAGAATCAGCTAAAATGTAGGTTGCAAAGCGGAGGAAAACTATCATGCCTCCGCGGAACTGATTATCAAATAGAGACCAAAATTGCTCTTTTCAACCTTTGCAAATTAGAAAGGAATCTTGCCAAGAATTAACACATCTTTATTTCAGACCTAATTTAAAAATGTATAGTATCATAAAATGTGGGCTCACTATGAAATGAATATTCTGGCTAATTATTTCTTAAAGCAAACACTAATTTATCATTTCTGATTTACCTTAGTAAGTAACTAGGCGAATCCTAACAGTTGATTAGAATTCAAATGTTCTAACTTGATATTTTAGCCCAAGGTAGTAGTAACTGTTTTCAAGAGATCACTGAATTAAGTAATAAAAATACAAATAACTGATGTTTTTAAACTTAGCAACTTTGAATATCTGTATTTTTTTAACATTTCCTTCCCATGGAAGAGTCATCTGTAATTTCTGCTGGATAGAAGGTGTGTGGAAGTGTGTACAAACCTTGTGCAGATATTCATGACAAACAGGCCCACAACTTAAGGGTGTGATGCCTGAAAAAGAGAACTAATGAAGGAAAATACTACTCATGTAGCGGCATGATATGCGATGCAAAAAGAGAGCAAATCTATTTTAAATATTAGAATGTACTTATTGGAAGGAATGCTCCAAAAAACAGAATTCTCAAAAATTTTATAGTTTGTGGGTGGCATCTCTCTTTACATCCTGAAAAAACTTTATTGTGGGTTGAGAAAAAAATGTCATTTGTAGTAGATGGATAAAACTGATGGATGGATGGATGGATGGATGGAAGGAAGGAAGGAAGGAAGGAAGGGAAAGAAAGAAAGAAAGAAAGAAAGAAAGAAAGAAAGAAAGAAAGAAAGAAAGAAAGAAAGAAAGAAAGAAAGAAAGAAAGAAAGAAAGAGAAAGAAAGAAGAAGATGGATGGCAGTGGTGTAAATAAGATAGAGGTCTCTATCTCTTCATATTTCAAAATTCTGGAGATAGTCAGCAAAGAGCTGAACTCGGGATCCAGGCTCCTTCCCTCTTGTGGCTTCATTATGTGTCCTGCCATTCTCAAAGTCATAATGAGTCAACATGGCTGCCAAAGTTCCAGCCATTGCTTTTGTATTCCAGGCAAAAAGGAGAAAAAAGGCACATAAGAGCCCTTCTTTCATTTAAGGCCATGTCTCAGAAGTTGCACACACTGTTTTTGCTTATATCTCATTAGCACAAATTTGTTCCATCTCAAATTTAGCCGCAAGGAAAACTCAGAATTATAGTCTTCATTTTCAGTGGCCTTAGGCCCATCTAAAAGTTAGGGGCTTCGTTTCTCAGTAAGAATGGGAAATGTAGATAAAAAAATGCCTAGCAGTTTCTGCCACACAGTTCAAACTAGTTGGCATGATTTTTGGAATGTTTTCACCTCCTTCAATTATAATACATTATAGAAAAATACATGTATTTTTCAGTACTATGAAGAATTAATCATTGACCTTGTGAAATGAGAATTTCTACCCTTTTTCTTAGAAAGAAAAAAATTATGATGCAAGATCCTTCTGTGATTCTGTAATTCCTCAGAGAATATTCTAGCTTTCCCATACTTAAAATTGAATTTTAAACTCAAGAGCTAATCGAATGAAATGCTTGATTCTCACTGTTCTGCTACAAAAATATCTTTCCATGGTCATAACTCTTTAGCTACTTTATCTCGGCAGCACCTTTTTTCTGAATTGATAAGGAGTGTCAGTATTTTCTTTTTATGCAACTCAACAAACATGCGGTGGACACTGATGCCTAGCGAGAGTGGGGCAGGACAGATCAGTGGAAAAAGCACGTGACCCTTCCTTCCTGTCATTTTCTGTCGGTAAAAGTTGGGCCTGTGTTTCCCATCACCCGTTTTTCTTCAAAAACATAATGTTGGTTAGAGTGGAATGAGTATTTTAAATTACTGATACATAGTCTCTCAGAAAAAATTCAATTGAGGGAAATCATGGAATTTTTTTGTAATCAGGTTTTACCATATATTCTTCCTAGGCTGTGTGTGTGTGATAGTGAGAGAGACACAGAGACAGAGAGAGACAGAGACAGAGAAAAAGAGACAGGCAGAGAGACAGAGAAATCTTGAAATCTTCCAGGCACTACTTATTTAAAACATCCCAGGAAGTAATTGCAACCACTGAAAAGTGTTGATTACATTCTCCCAATACCTTCTGCCTGCAAACCTGGCAGCTGCCACTGACGACTGAGATAAGGCTGACTGACTTATCCATGTTGTGCACACATGTGTGCACGAACTTCAACCCTGGGATGTGCCCTTTCTAAACCATCACTTTGTTAAAGTGCTCCATACACCCATTTCTCTAAACAATAAGTAATATGAGATTATTTTAGGGAATGAAAGGTAAAAGAAATAAGATGCCTAGGGCCACATGCTGTTTCTCTGCTGGGTCGAACTGCACAGTTGAAAGAGACCTCAGCAATTTGTTTGCTTAGTTGGCAGAGGAGACGACTGAGGCTGGTGGTAGCTGCAGTGGCTTGTCCATGTCCCATTGGCTGTGCTGGGTAAGCCTTCAGTCCAGTCTTCTTTCCTCTACGCCAGCTGTCACAAGTCCCAACTGAACACGGCGCTGGCTGTTGACTGCAGTCCGATGCTTTTTTCACCTGGGCTCTGGCCCCGGTTATCAAGGTTCAGAACTCCTGAGGTGGACACCTGCCGTTGGCTTCTCCCTGTCACGCTTCCTCCCCTGGGATATGAGCATCAGAGGGTCACATACACCTCTTCCGATGGGCTCTTGTCATGCCATGTTGTCTTCTCAGGACAAATGAGAAACTCCAGACCTCAGATGACTACTCTTTGCTTCCTTCTCAAAAAACAAAACAGCTCAGGCTTGCCTGCCTTCCTCTGTCTTTACTCATGGTTTAAACATTATCCTTCTGCCCAACTCAAGCTTTCTCGTGATTCTTTGTCAACCAGCAGACAGTTTACTTTCAACAGCTGGGTGCCAGTCTTTCTAAAGACTTGTTTCTGAGGAAGTGATTTCACAAATGATTGCCAAAAGTAACTTTTTAACTGCCTCACATATTTCATTTCCTTGAAACCTCTTTTTTAAAGGGAATTGTTCCCTTCCCTTTCTGGCTTTTTAAATCTATTCTAAACCTTGAACTGCAGTCGTTGAATGCAGCTTTATAAAAGAGTTGACATGGGCTCTGATGTAATGTGAAACCAAGAGCCAGGAGTTCAGTGCCTGCCAGTACCTTCAGATCCTGTAATGCAAATGGAGTGTTGCGTGCGTATGTCAGTCAGCTTTCTGAGTCCTTCAGCGGAACTTGTGTTGTGCAGCCGCCTGTTGGCCCGGCCAGGCCTTTTATTGGTGTACAATGTCACGTTGGACCCATTCATTTGATCAACACCTATACCTATGTATCTAAGTTCTTCTAAGGCTTTTCATTTTTGCCACCATTCTAAATAAGAAAAACAGTTTCCTGTGCAAGACATTTCTAGGCAAAATAGAATGTATAGAGTACCAAGTTAAATGATTTTAGAGAATGGAATTTGGGGAGATTCATAGATTCATGTGGCAGGCTTAACTAGTTTTTATAGAGCAAACACACTCATTAAATCCATTTTGTTTATTATTTTCATACCACTTGTTTAGTGTGGTGATTTTTTTTAAAAAGGCAGCTGGTTAATCTTTGGATTATTTAAGATCTCAGGGAAAAGCCACAGATTACAAAACTCAAATATCTAAAGTTCACCCAGAAAGCAAAATCGCTCAGCCCTCTGTGGAGTTCTCTTTGTGCTCCTAGGCCCGCAAAGTCTTTGGTCTAAAGTCTCTGAACTTGATCGCATTGGTCCCATTAATCTTTGTCAAGGAAGTTTAGGGGTAGGGTTCAGAAGGTGAACTCCTGATCTTGTTTGATTCTTTTCTTAGTTTTAGGGCCCACAACCACCCACCCCCCTTGGTCTCATTCTGCCTGCACTTCACATTTCCATATCTAGAAATATGGGACCACATGATAATTACAGCCTGTTAAGAAATGGAGCTTTCATTAAAGGTTCCCTGAAAATCTAAGATGCCATGTGAAAAACGCGGGCAGCGTGGAAATATTGGGAGCATCGGTGATGACTGCAGTAAGTCTAGGTCTCATTTCCTTTAAAAGCCACAGATATCCCAATTTTATCCTGTGTAACTGGAAGGGAATTTGGTGTTAACATTTCAAAATGCCTGTAAGTCCTAAGGGGGAAATCTAAAGTGAAAGGTATTAATTTACAAATCAGTTCCTAAAGCAAAATGCCTGCCTGGGAATGACAAAGTTATTTCTCATCCTGTAGTAGAAATGCAAAGGTGAGAACTCCCACTGAGACCTTCTGATCTGAAAACACTAAGGAATCTCTGCTATTGTGAGCAAAATGACAAAAAAAAGGTCTTCTCAGTTGTGCTTACCTTTCCAGTTTTTCTGGGACTCCCTGCATGTGACAAGAACTCTGCTCCCCTATCCATCCACAGCGGAACTAGGAGCCAAGACACAAAACAGGTCTCTGACCATCCCAATCAAGTTTATAAAATCCACACTCAAACTCCTGAGGTTTTTTGCCATAGAAGATCTTTTCCATCCTTTGTTTTAAGTCTTTTATTTTAAGTCCTACTTACTGTTCATTTATTCACGATTCTAATTATCTTAAAAACATAATGTTCAATCACATGACACATTACAAGCAGAAAATTAGAAAAGCTAGTAATGTTATAGTATAAGCAAAATACAGGCAGTAATCAAACATGCTCAAACTAAAAGAACAGAAATAGAAAATTAGTAGAACACTCTACTGCACAGTTGTCCTGGGACATTTAAAGTGACAATAAATATCCTTAGGGTCTGTGGGCAACACAGTGTTGGTTAGAGAGAAAAGCATTTTGTTCATACTCTGGTGAATCCAGATTGTCAATAAAAACACTTATTGTGAATTAGGAACAGGAACCCCTTACTCAAGATACTTTTCTTTCATCTGTCCCAAAATTATGTTAATTACTGATTTTTATTTAAATAAGATGCTTTACTTTTATCTACTGAAAACTTGTTCAAATAACCATATGGACCTTCAGTGTCTATAATTTGAATGGGAACCCTTTTATTTTCTTTAAATTTTTTTTACTATTGTTCAGTTACAGTTGTCTCCATCCACCCCCCCACACCCCACCCATTACTCTCCCCTGCCCTACCTACCCCCACCTTCCACTTTCAAACCTCTCCCCACTTTGGCTTTGTCCATGGGTCCTTTATACTGTTTCTTGATGACCCTTCCAATTCTTTCCCCCATTATCCCCCTCCCTCCTCCCCTCTGGTTACTGTCAGTTTGTTCTTTATTTCCATGTCTTTGGTTCTATTTTGCTCACTTCTTTGTTGTGTTGATTAGGTTCCACTTATAGGTGAGATCATACGGTATTTGTCCCTCGATGCCTGACTTACTTCACTTAGCATAATGCTCTCCACCCATGCTGTCTCAAACGGTAGAACCTCCCTTTTCCTGTCTGCTGCGTAGTATTCCATTGTGTAAATGTGCCATAGTTTTTTGATCCACTCATTTACTGATGGGCACTTAGGTTTTTTGCAGTACTTGGCTATTGTAAATAATGCTGCTATGAACATTGGGGTACATAGGTTCTTTTGAATTGTGAATGGGAACCCTTTTAATGTGGCACTGCTGAGCCCACATAACCTGCACAACATTATGTTGCCCTGTGAGTAATGCAGAAATCTCCCATCCAAAATTGTTAAAATAAAGATGCATAGATATTTAAAAGGTGAAGGTATCAA